AAAAAAAATCCCATCATGCACGGCCCATGTAAATGGTATGGGAAAATTAAGAACCTCACCCCCCCACCGCCACCTCTGCCGCCCCTTCTGTTATTACCAGTCTGCCATGGTTCTGACACCCCCCAGTCATGTGATCTGGGGAGCGACCCACGGGCCAACAGCAATTAAACCCGGGGCCGCATGCGGTCACTCCCCAGGCTCTGGTGCCAGCCGCCTGGGCTGATTGCTCCGGCATCACCTGGGACGGGACGGGTAATGAGTACCGGTGCTCGCTGCGGTGGGGCAGCGCCAGCTGGAACAGAGGGCAGGCAGCAAAGCATGATGGGATGCATGGGCACTCGCCACTTTGGCTCATCATATGTATGTTACCCTGTTACATTTTTTTTTTTTGTGGATGGGTGGGGGGCAGTGAATTTAATGCTCTGAGAAAGGACTCCTTTTGTAACGTTAAAGTACTTTAGGACACTTGTGCAAGAATTCCCATTGTCCCTAGGTTTTCCTGCCTGGCTCACTGATGCGTGAACGGCTGGGATGTAAAGGTCGACATTTAATAACCGAGGGCTACCTTAACCGAGTCAGCCAGCTCTGGACAAAAAGAGGGAAGGGGGCCTATTTTTATTTAACGGGGTCAGGACGGGTTCTTCCTGTCTGTACCAAGCCAGGCAGTGGCGATGACCTGTTTTATTGTTTGCCTTTTACGTTTGGCAGGAAACGCTTTCAGGGATGACATGTGGGCTTTGTGCTGGTCTCATACTGGCCGTACAGACGCGCTCATTGTGTCAGCACGCCGGGGGGGGGGCACTCAGCTTTGAGGTCATGCGGCCAAAGCTGTAGATAATATTTGGGGGGATATGGAACGGGTAAAGTCGACATGTCCAAGACAAACTGCATCCTGGGATTGTTAGAAACGTGTCTTCTGAAAGGAACTGAAGGATTTTTTAGTGAAGGGGGATGATCGTATGATTCGCCAAATGCTCTAACAGAATTGGCCTTAGTAGGGGTGTCAAAGCTGCATTTGAAGGTCTTGGTTATGCGTCTACTGCATGGAGTCACCGCCTCATTGTGTCAGCGGCCTTTGGCACCAGGGAACCTGAAGCACAGCCTTGTTTTCGTGCCACGTGAGTGTCAGGAGAGCAGCCTGGGCGTGAGCGTAGGCTTGAGTAGCTGTTGTCAGCGCTGCATGGGCAGTTTGGACCGGACTCTTTGTGAATGTGCTTCTCTGTGTTGGCGTTTTTGACAGCTTGGCTCTGAAGCTCAAGCCTGATCAGATACCGTTTGTGACAGCAGCGTCTCTGAGAGCTCGGGCTGATGGGAGACCAACCATCATGGCCGACAGTCACAGCGGCAGTCAATAAAATGTGCACCGGCTTAAAGAACTTACTAGAACCCCGCAAAATTTGATAGCGGATTGGAAAGAGAAATGAAAGGAGGTGCTAATTACGTTATTGATAAACTGAAGATTTCAGTCACTGTTATTTTAAGGTTTTTTAATCAGGTAGAATTAGACAGATCCTGATGTTTGTAAACAAATTCTGATCCCGGTTTTTATATGTTAGTCAGCCTTTCTGTGGGGGTGTGGGGATGTGGGGGGAAATGCAATACCTGCTGTGACCCCCAGGCCGCCTCCCCTGTCCTCCGTCCTCACCAGCACAGACCTCAGATCTCTACAGCCGTGAGGCAGCTGAGTCAGGTCACCTGTGTCTCCCGTCCGTCATTTTCGAGGCAGCCGCCCTCAGACAGTGACCCCCAGATCAGCACGATCGTTTTGTACAAAAATAATCCGGCTCAGACTCGCTGTGGACTTTCTGGGCCTGCTGGTGTGTGTTTGGATGCTGGGTCCACTGTAAGGAAGACACAAGGTTCCCCGCTCAGGACGATCGGCCTACTCTGCCTTGCCGGCCCGCGGTGGGATAGCGGCCGCGTTCACGCCGTCTCCCTCCGTCCGTAGCTGCGGCAATGCGGTGGTGGAGCGCATTTGGGAGGCCGATCTGGAGGCGTGTCACGTTCTGCTGCGCAGCTTGCAGCTCCGGGCGACCGGAACCTGTGGCCCGGATGTGGAAGAGACCCCCGAACCCGTCCCCCGTCCAGAGGTCCCGGCCCATGACTGGTATGAGCCGGACTGTGCCATGTTGACAGCGCTGGGGGGGCGCTGGTGCCCCGATGCCAACCTGCAGCATTCGGAGTTTGCTAAGGTAAGTGTGTTGTCCTCTGTGGTACCATAAGGAGATGGGTTTGCGTGCTTGACATACCCACTAGTAGAGCCTCTTTAACATGCGATGGGTCTGCCTTCGGTCACCCCGCCCGGAATTAGGAGGCGACCACAGTACGGGTCACATGTCCAGTTAGCCTGTACATCTGTTCATTGTCTGTGTGTTTCCGATACGGTGCAGATGGAGAATTCATAGGATTTTCAGAACCATTTATGTTTTAATGATTCACCAAAGACCCATTTTAAGTGCAGAGCCAGCAAGAATAAAGGCGGCTTTGTCATTTCCAGAAAAGCTACCACTCAATCCTTTAGGGGCTTGGCCTAACCCCCCCGCCCTGGACGGGGTTCCTGTCCTCCCTGGTGCTTTCCCATGGTCAGCAGAGGTCAGAGTTGAGGAGTGACTGCAGCTGCTCCTCCACAAATATGCCTCCGTCTGCTGGGAAAAGCCAAACGGGTCAGGCGGAACCGGGAGCAGCGCCAGGGTGGGTTGCAGACAGGGCTGGGGGGCCTTACTCCCCCATCACAAGTTCTGATAGCTGCTCTGGGTAATTATGCACACAGACGACAAAGTTCTATCTGTGTTGGTCTCTCGGACTGGGCCCTCTGGTGGGGGTCTGACTTCCAGCGCTCGGATCGACCGGATCACAGCACGGCGACAAACGTAGCTATTGCACCGGAATCCGGAGCCGAGCATCTGGCGGCGGATAAAACAGCCGAGCGTTTCCGCGGAAACCCCACCGGCGGTGACGCATTTGGCACCCCCCCGGCGGCTGGCCCTCCTGCAGAACGGCGAATCAGACACTTCGTTTCAGCCGGTTGCATCATGTCATTTGAAGCCACAAAATTTAGATCGGTCTTCAGTTACGACCCCATCACAATATCGGCCCCCCAACCCCACTTAAGACTGGGGAGATGGGGGCTGACTTTGGTGAAGCGGCTCTGGAGCAGAGGGCGTCCGCTTTGGTGTGGGGGGGGGGGGCGTCTCACGTGTGTCATGCTGACTTTTACAAAGGAAAAGCAAAGCAGGATCTTTTTTTGCATTAAGTCTTCTGTAGGTGGGGGGCTGGGGCCCCAGTTTTCTTTTTAAGCTCAAAAAGTGATTTCTTGCACATCAAGGAGTGCATGGGTCCATACCTGAAAGCTGACTCAGGCCAGTGGGGCCCAGTTCTCCCAGCATGGTCCATCTTAAAGGCGCAGGCAGGCCGGGGAAAACTGGACACTTCCCCCCCCCCCCTTTGCTCAATGACTCTGGGCTCGTCAATTGTTCCCTTTTCTCCCCACACTTTTTCACACACTAATAAACACACTACTTAGGGTGGATGGGCATGACTTAATGCTGCTAAGAATCTGCTGCTTCCAAATGATCTGCACTAACCTGTACTACTACCTCTCTGCCATGGCTGGGTCACCTGACCTCTGTCCTGCATGCCCCCCCATCTCTCTCTCTCTCTCTCTCTCTCTCTCTCTCTCCTCTTTGAAGGCTGGCTTCTCTTCCTAACCTCCTCCACTTCCAGCAAGAGACACTGAGGTGAGACCCTCCTCCTTTACTGTATGGCGGAGGTGGATTGTTCAGGTTCAGAAAGCAAAAATCTAGACCAAGATTTTGTTTCAACCAAGCAGTTGGGGGGGGAAAAAGAGTCACAGTCACAGAGAACTCAACTGGTTGGTTGAAACAAAATCTTGGTCCAGACTTTTACTTTCTGGACCTGGACTATTCAGCTCTGATGCACGGACCTCTCTGGAAGGTCAGTCACGTAGCTAGAAGGACTTCTCGTTCATCAGAGGCCTCAAAAACGAGTGATTATCAAACCAGCCGGACCCGGGTTCGAGATGAAAATGGAGCAGCTAGTGTGGGTCGCCACAGAAGCCGCCGGTGGCTGAAACAATACGTCCACGAGGAAGGGATATTATATGTAATCACAACTCCTTTGCAATGTTCTTTGGTTTGCGGCTGCTCTCAATATGTGAGCCACAAATATAACGAATGTGGTTAATTGCCTGCTGGATTAACAGGATGGTGATAAGTTAAAGCCCCCCCCCCCCTTTTATGATGATTAATAATTGTTTCCATAATGATGTCACATATTTGCAAACATAATAGGATATTGAATAATTAGTGCTCTGGCCGGGATTTGTGTTTATACTTTGTTTTCGTTATTTTCTCCACAGAAACTAGAGGATTTTCTGTTCTGTATGGAGGAGAGTCCGCCAGAGGTAAGCGGAGATTTATTGGCCTTCCAAAATCTTTATACCCTTATGCTAATCTTTTACGTGTCTCCCCTCTTCATTTACGACGGTCAGGATTATAAAAATGACTGAATGTGTTTCACTGGTGATTTCAATTATAGCCTTCCATCTACATGAACAATTCTTTTTTCTTCTTCATCCAAAGTTAGATTAAGATTAAGTATCCCGTCCTGGATGTTAATGCCCTCTCTCAGTACGTGACTTATTCTTAAATCGGACTTTCTTACCAAGCACTCATTTTTCGCTAAAATGACTTCCTTACACGGTGATGATCTTTCGGCCTGTGGAGTTTCGATCGAGAGAGCGGCTGGTTTTGCTAAAAAGGGATTCGCGCGGCAAACGGTTTACTGGGATGCTGCCCAATGCGCTGGCCGTTCCGGTGCCATAGCCGGCTGATTCGGCCGCTGGCGGTAAGGTGAAAATAACACGGCTAGCGGGTTCAGTCAGCGCGACGTGGTAGTGGTGGTGGTGGGCGGGTAGCTTTACAAAGGGCTGTCTATGCAGATGCCTGCGACTTATTAAGAAAATAAGTTTTCAGATCCAGGATATGGGTAACCACCTCTATGATGGAACCCTCAGTATACAGCAAGGCTGTTTAATCTCAGAAAAGATCAACTGCAAGCCCATTTACCACTGTCGACCACTGCGGTCTCATTTTTTTTTCTCCTCAATTGTATTTGCTTTCTTCCCCTGGGGGCCCAAATCCCCCCCCCCCACATGGTAATTGAAGTCATGTGGTTGCACACTTTTATCCCAAGCTCCCTGCCCTTGCTCACAACTGTACGGGTGAGTGATCTTAGTTGCAGTCGTAAGTAAAAAGCCATCAAAGGCTTGCTCCCCCCTTAGGAGAAATGCCTCTGAACAGCCTGTATTACCTGTGAGTGTGGGTGTGTGCTCTGTGATGGACCGGCATCCCCTCCACGATGCCCCCCCCCCTGCCCTGTGCCCTACGCTGCCCGAGTTTCTGTGACAGATTAAGGTATTTCAAGATGCAGGCACTGTTAAGAGCCGGTAATCCAGAGGCCTTTTAATATTAACATCCTTATTGTCCCAACAAATTAGATCAATGCTAAGTATGGTCATATTTCGCCCACGGAAAAAAAGTCCTTCGAGTGATGTAAGTGACCAAACTTTGAAAAGCCCCCCCCCCCACCCCATCTGTTTTTCTCCAGATTTTACTCATCTGTCTAAAACCGCTGTCAGAGAATCTGAAAGGTAACATATTTGAATCCAGACGCTTCACAGGTTCCCATATTTCAGTGGGACACAATTACTACAATGGTATAAAAATTACCATGGCACCTCATTCCGGAACTGTGCTTAATTACGGCTTTATTCCTCTCCTTTGGAGGGACAGCAAATTAACACGCCACTGTACTCAGTCTTGGCAAATATCAAACGTGACCGCCATCGTAGGCAAATAGAAGCTGGTGCTTATTGGCTGGCGTGTCCTGGTTCCCATGGTTACAAATGTGGGGGGGGGG